TTACAGAGTCAGCATATTGCCCCCAACAATCCGGGTCCTCATTTTACCCACCTCGGAAGGATGGAAGGCTGAGTCAACCTTGAGCTGGTGAGATTCGAACCGCCGAACTTCAGCTAGCAGTCAGCTGAAGTGGCCTGCAGTACTGCACTCTAACCACTGCGCCACCTCGGCTCCTAGAGTCAGGAATGACTAGCACATATGTGTGAGGGGAACCTTTATCTTTACTATACTGCTAAGATTGTTTGAGGATTGGTAGAATTGCAAAGAGAAACAGTGCTTTCTGGAAAGTAACTATTACACACCTCCAACCAAGAACACCTTTTATCTCACGGCATGTCCCTGCACCAATTTACTATACCAAGTTAACAATTTTAAATATATGAAAGTGCATCCTTTTTTCTCTGGCATTCAGAAGAGAGCAGAAAATGTAAGGATGCAATTTTCATCTTCTAGTTAAGATAAGTTAAATCTGGTGAGAATTTGCCTGGATTTTCTGGCTGATTCTGATCAACCTCTTATATATTCTCTATAATGTCAGGATGATTGGTCAGTTTTATAGTTACAATGCTTATTACAATATCCACAAGAATGTGGCAGTAACTTATTGTACTCTAATCCTTGTCTCAGACGTAGATCTAGAAGTTCTTATCAAGTGGATCAAAACCTGATAAGTGGTCATCTCTTAGCTTCTAGGATCAGATAACAGGAGTGTGGGAATTTGCAATAAATACATCTACATTTTATTAATTATTCACAGGTACACATATTGATAGAATTTCCATTAAAAGCCTAACATATCTCTGGCTAGTAGAATCTGTGCAGTAGATTCAGAGATCTGTCTCTGCACTGGATTTCTATTACATCAGTTATCTATGTCCATCTCGTTTACTCATCAGTGCAACATTAGATATTAAAATATTACCATTAAGCATTCTACAGAAGCAAACATACGTACTTCGATTACATTTTTCCAACACCTTGTGATGGTTGTGGACTTCAGATGCTAGGATTGCATTTTGTTCCTTTAGTTTATTTATCTGAAAAAAACAGATGACCCAAATAATGAGATTACCAGAGAAATTTAAACACTTATAATGATGCTACAAACATTGCAAGAAGTTTTGCTTAAATCTATCAAGTTTCCAATCCAATTATCAATTTTAAGTGAATAACAGCAACCAGGGAGTGTACCAATATTCTTAGTTATTTCACTGATGTATTAGTTTCTATACCAAGTTGCAAACAACTGCTGGATTTTCAGCTAAAGAAGCAATCTGAAACAACCTTTTATTACTTCCTGATATTACTTCCTAATATCTTTGGTCAAGGTTATAGCCAAATAGTATTAAAACAGCTAGAATGCTTTAAATGCTATATTAAATGGAGCCTGCCTTGAGAGGTAGCAATTAAATACTTTGCAGCTCATGCAGAGAAAGCCCTTGCTTATGAAGAATTAAGATTTAGCTAGCAAGACAGCTTACAAAGGGACAGGATATTATTAAGATGTATATTTTAAAATTCTTGCTTTAGCTTTGACTAGCATAATATCTACCATAAAAATCACAGCTTCTAATCTCAGCAATTTAGAATAATATATTCACATATATAGTGGGTCACTTTTCAGGAGATGGATGACTATCTAAATTTGATTAATAAATAAATAACAAACAACCAGGTAGCAACACCCTGACCATGCATAGGTAGTCCTCGATTTATAAAGGTTCATTTAACAATGTTTCAAAGTTTACAATGACCTTGGAAAAAGGATTTTACAACCATCACATCACCCCTTCAGTCACATAATCACAATCTGAGCACTTGGCAACCAGCTTGCATTTACATCCGACTGCAGTCTTTTGTGGCCATGTGACTGTGATTTCTAAACTTCCTAGACCAGTGTTTCTCAACCTTGGCAACTTGAAGATGTCTGGACTTCAACTCCCAGAATTCCCCAGCCAGCGAATTCTGGGAGTTGAAGTCCAGACATCTTCAAGTTGCCAAGGTTAAGAAACACTGTCCTAGACGTTTTCTGACCAAAAAAAAGCCAATTAGGGAAGATGGAACCGCTTAATGACCACATTAAAAATAGTCATAAAATCGCATCCGGTCACGTGATAACTTACTTTGCAACCTGATTGACTTACAATGGAAAAACCGTAGTTGTGGTCTTAAGTCGAAGGCTGCCTGTACAGTGGTTCTCAGCCCTCTGGCTAAAATACTTACTTCTGCTATTCCTTCTACAAAGGTGCTCTTCAGGTTTTCCAGCTCAATGACGGCAGTTTTCTTCTCCTCTTGAAGTGAGATAATTTGATCTCGCAGATCTTCATTTTCAAGAAGAGCAGTGGCCGTTCATTTTTCATTTTAAGATAAAAAGGAACAGGGTAAGTGTAGAAAAGCTGAAGAGCAAAGGCATTCACTGTTTCTTGAATTATTAAGCACGCAGAGGTTTCACATGTCGATGTTCTCACAAACAAGAATGGTTAACTAGCCTTTTAATCTGCGTTTGAGAGTTTCATTGTGGAGGTTTTCAACTCAGAAGGGGAAGTTTCTCAACTCAGCTAAACAAGTTATCTCTCAGTTTTAAAGAAAGCTTCTTTTTTAAGGAAGACACAAAAATTATTTGCTTATTCAGCAGTTCTACTGTAATAGCTGTCATCTCATTTTCTATTTTCCTATTTCATCATTCTAAATGATAGCGCCAAAAACCATAACTGGAAATCACTACCTAGAGAGATTAACATTCAAAATTAAGGCACATAAAAGTAAACAGCTGCGTGCCATTTAGCACTACAAAATAATACTAAAGTGCTACATTTTAATGTAATTAAGCTTTAAATACTCCCAGTTCACATAACCCTGAACAATATACAGTTAGGATAAAAGTATATAATCGTTTCATGAAAAAAATAAAAATCAATGTCACCCCTCCCCTGGGGAAAAAACCCATACCATTCAAGCAAATGGAGGGGGGGGGGAACAAAAGTAATTTTAAAATTACGACTTAAAAAAAACTGGGCTAGTTTCAAAAGTAATCAGTATAATCCGAATTATCAGAAACTGTTCATAAACATCAATTTTATAGCAGAAAAAAGCAAGAAAAGGAAGTGGGTATGACTTTTCCTAGAGTTCCTAATAGAGGCCAATACATAGTTTAAGTCAGCATGCTATGAACTGTATATGAATTTCTTCATTAAATACATTGTTTTATTCAGTATCATGATCCCCATTTTATGGAAGGATGGCCTGCAAAATCAGTACAGAATCTGAAACTATGAGTCTATGAATGAGGTTTAGTTTAAGTCAGTAAACTGACTTGGTTTAAGGCAACAACTGAACTGCAAAAGATTATGCTATACTATTTAATCTAATTCCGATGGCTTAATCTCTCCCACCTGACTTAAAGAGTGATCCAGACACTTGTCAGCCAATCCAAAACAATGCATCTGAACTTCTGCTGTCCTACTGGCAAGTCCTATTACGTTATTGCTGCTTCTGTTTAAGTTTAGTGCTTTGATTTGTAAGCTTGTCACTTTCTCTAAGCAAGCTGCTGTCTCTTTCAACATAGGACTTCCACTAATTAGGGCTCTGCATCAGGAATGGGTAGGTTCCATCTTCAGAAATCTATTTAGTGTTCTAGTTTTTTTTAGGTTGGTTTGTCTGGCTCATTACACCACGTCCTTCAGCAGAAGCTGGAGGCTTCATCCAAATGTTGCACAAAAATGCACATTCCATCATTTTGATGAAACAAACTCTTGTTCAGTATTTGCCTGAATGTTATGACACAATTACAAAAGGGCCACAGTTTCATCATACCCCTAGTGATTACCCGTGGAGGTGCCTCAGTTTTACGCATTATAGCCCAAGGTAAAACAATATGGAGTCAAGAAACATGGGAAGGTATCACCATAGAAATCCAGAAGGGAGTGAGGTAAATTCTGTCATAAATTAGTAAGTANCGTCAGTCAGTAGGAGATTTATCAGTGAGTCCCAATTTAATCATTGTTCTAAGTTTGCGTAGACCTGTATTGAAATAGAGATATAGATAGATAGATAGATAGATAGATAGATAGATAGATAGATAGATAGATAGATAGATAGATAGATAGATAGATAGATAGAGAAAGAGAGGTGGCCAATTGCAGTTTTGGTTGCAGCTCTCATGATCATGTTCTTTAATAATCTTTCTGGTAAAATATCTTAAAACCCATGATAATTGGCAAAAATAAGCTGATCAGTGTTTGCTGATGGCTTATTCATTAGAAAAAAATAAAGTCTCCTTTTCTTGACGTAGGGGGAAAATCAGTGGCAGTTATTGGAAGTCAATTACATTAGCTAGTTATTATCAGTAACTTTAGATATAACCTATCCTATTTGAATTAGAATAAGTTACATGATAAGTGAAACAGGTTACATCAGGTTCCCTGAAAATAATTAAAAATATTAGATTACTTTACTGCCGATATCTATTTTGGTCTTTTTCTCTGATAAGTTAAATTTCCCATTATGTTTGGCAGGTGATAGATTCAAGTTTCTAAAGATAAACACACTCGTACCCTAACCTTATCAATTCCTGCATATGACAGCTGAAACTATGGAATGTTACATTAATTATGGTTATACTGTGGAGCAGGTGTTTTTCTTTCTTTTTTTTTTCAATATAGATTAGCCTACACATAAGAACCTTTCTGTAAGTGCAGGTTTTTCAGTCCATTTAGAAAGATATTACATATTAATGGACCAGCTATTACAAAGTAACCTAAAAACCATTAATGCATCTAAATGAAGAGTTACTATAGAGCTTATTATTAATACAGTGCATTGATATCTCTGAATCAATAGCATGCAATCTTATTATGAAAGGAGCAAAATTCCTATACAAGAAGGTCATGGCTGTCTGGAATTATAAGCATTTTTCTTTACAATTACAAAAAGCAGATAACAGAATTTGACCTTTCTGCATGCAAATGTTCACTGTAGGGATTTTAAATACAGTGTCTGCTAGTATTTACTAGGGAACCGATAATGAAAAGGACACTGTAAGTAACCAAGTTAAAGATAGTCACTATAGTTTAAAACTATTATCTACATAGTACATATGAATTTTTCTTTTTACACACATAAAGAAAAATTGAATTAAATGATAAGAAAGGAAGCAAATTCCTTCTGTCTTCTCCTTTCTACTTCCAGTCTTAGATTTCATCCCTGTCCTTATTATTTTAGACTACACAATCATTAAAAAAAGTTATGATGCCAGAATATGCCATCATATACAACCATCAACACAGCTAATTGATTTTACAAACAGTGTCTTTTCCACAAATACGGTATTTTTTCTCTTCATCACTGTTAAAATGGAGTTCACGAAGATGCCAGAATTTATTCTTTCTAGTATGTTAAAAATATATCGTTTTACGATAAATATAAAACAAAGTCAGTGAACTATGGACATTCTCACAAGCTTGAAAAATAATGTATTCTGCTTCTGGGTGAGGATCTATTGAGGATTAGATGTCCCTTCTTTTTAAAAGCTCCAATAAAATTATATATTGTTTTAAAAAGAACAATTCTGTAATTGGGAGGCTCTGGAACTAATTGGCTGTATTGACAGGGCAGGGAAGACAAATTATGAAATATGAAATGACACAAACCATACCTTTTTGTATGTAAGGGATGGAGCTTGAATTTTGATGTCATTGCACATTTCGTATTCTGAAAAAATCATGGCTTAGAATGAGAATTATTAACACCACTGGTATGATTATTGCTTAATGTTCCCAATACAATCATCATTCAATCAAGTCCTTTGCATTATGAGTTGAGGGAACAGAAAATAAGGATGACTAGGACTTCTGAGGAAAAAATAGAGATGGCTGTAATGTAATGAAGAAATGGCTCTTTGTAATTTCTCTCTGGACAAGGAGAGGACTTGTGATTACTGACAGTGTTCCTTATGAGGAGACCGAAAAATCAGCTTGTTTGGAGATCTGGGAGCTGAGAGTGTAGCTATCTTTTTGCTCAAACTACAGCCAACACCTTTGAAAAGGTTTGCAAACTTCCTTTTGTAATGACTTTCAGAAATGGTTTATTAACTGCTTTTCAGCCATTAGGAATCTTTGAGTCAATAGGTTTTACAGCAATGGGTGAGTTTCCTTCAATCCTTAGTCAATGAAGTTTTAAATAAAAGTTCAAGGACAATTGTTTTCTCTTGGAATAAACAGTAAAAGGTTAATTAGAATCTTGATTTTGGAAAGATACACATTAAGAGTCCATAGAGGTTTTTAAAAATGATTTTGGAATCAATCATAGGAATTCTTCCATGGAAAAATGCTTTTGTTTTGAATTCTCTTTAAAAAACACAATAGGATGAGGCTTTGAGGTTGAACACTAGAGGGAACCAAGAGAAACTAAAAATTACAATTAAAGGAGAACACTTACACTTGATTCACTAATACAGAATGAAGCAAACTCTATTATTAAAAGATATTTTAGAACAATGAACCAACAGTTGAATTTTAGGAATTTCTGCCATTCTATGACTGTGTTTAAACTATGCTTCGGAAGAGAATAAGTATTTTCAGGCAAGATGGAGATTGATTTGAAAGTGGATTTAAAAATAATAGGCTACAAGAATGATATGGAAAAAGATGATATACTGGGCATACAAATAAAACCAGTCTTAATAGTCAAAAGGGATAATATACAAATAAGAAAATCAAAAGAATGATCTGGATAGTTTTTCTATAGTGGATTTGCCAAAGAGTCCTGTTAAAGCTGTGAAGAATTTTATGAGAAGAGACAATGAAAAAATGAAAACAAATCAAGCTCTAGGACATTATCTTAATGGACTAAGAATAAAAATTGTTCAAAGTAAAAGAAAAGAATATCCATTTTTAAAAATCATTTTTTACAATCAAGGTTAAAATATGTTGTTATCTCTGGTAACTTTAATGGACTTTTGCTGATCAGGACTGAACAAGGCTTCAAGGTTGTCTTAAACCTTCTATGACACAACATCACGGTATTCATGAATTGTTGCTTTTCCATTATATGGACCATCATATGTTATGGTCAAAATAGTTCTCAATTTTATAAACATATCTATTTTCCACTGGATATTTATTTTCCAAATAATTTACAGGAATAATGAAATACTGGAGGGTTTCTAAATGTTTAATCAGCTGATGAATTATTCAAGTTCAACCCACCCCAGAAGTAAAACCTGATTATGTCAACATTGCTGATTTCATTCTTAATGATGTAATCCATAGAATAAATCCTCTTTGAAACCGATTCCACCTGAACACATTCCACCTGAATCATGGGAAAACTAAATCTTTCATCAGGATAAAACAGTATTTCTAGGTCCTTCGAGAAACAAGAAGTACAAAAGGATGTAGCCCATGTCCCTCTATTTAATGTTATAGTTTATTGGAGTATTGTAAACTACTTCAAACATTTTGGCACAATAGACACTGGTATTTCAATTTATGAAACATTATTGTACATAATTAATAATAAAATGAGAGAATATGGTACTTATCTGCCTGCATAGCAGTCTCTTTGAGAATGTACACTAATTAATGATAAAAAAACCATCTCATGGAAAAGAAAAAAAGTTAATTTATGGGTAGGAGATTCAATCTCAATGTAATGCAGTATATGCCATATGTGCAATTCTGGTATGAGCCCTGTCAGTTTAAAAGGAATGGGCAGACAATACATTTGATACTAAAATATTGGGATTCAGCACAAGAAGCTGGATATTGTACACTGGATATATTGTTAAAATATCTCCACCAAAACGTCAGAGAAATATGGTCAAGGTCAAATATAGATAGAAACTCCCCAAGTAACCATAAGAATAATAAACACCTATTTACTGCAGAACTGAAGAGTTTTCATCTGAAGACAACTTCGCAGAGTGATTTTTATTAACTTATTATTAAATCCATCTTTGTACTATCACATAGCCTGTATAAAGTATCAATTTATAAAACAGAGAATTAAAGAGAAAAGAGTTGGCATTGAAAAAAAACCATTGTTTCTTTAGAACATTGTTAAAAATGCTTGCTATGGTCCGATCAGAAAAAGGTATTAACTTCCATACCTCTTGTGCAAAGTTTTCTGCCCTCTTCCGTAAGTTTTTTTCCAGCTCAAAGTTGACTTGGAGTTCTTCATACTCGTCTACTGCTAGTACAGACACTATGCGAAATGAAAAGGAAGGTGAGAAGGAGGAAGGGCAGACAGTTGCAGCAGTGGTGGTGAAACAAAACACAACCATGAAACATGCCATGAAACATGCCATGAAACAAGATTAAGTGTAGCAATATGGCTGTAATGAAGATATTTTTTTCTTTTCTACTACAGTGTTTGAAATGTAATTAATTATATTAGTAACTAACAGTGGTAGGTTACCGGAGGTATACCCCAGTACGGGCGTACAGGAGCCAGCCCGGAGCACCGGATACCATTCCGGTATGGTACTCTGGAGGGCCCACCCGCACTCGTTACCTGTGTTTTAAAGCTTCTGCGCTGCCATGCACGCGCATGGCGCATACAGCACCTGTACGACGCTCCAGGGAGCAGCTGGAACATCACAGAGGTACTAGAATACATGTCCATGCTAAACATGCGCTGCGGGCATCCATGAAAACGCCGCCGGCCCCGTTCCAACCATACCGGTTGGAACGGGATTTGAAACCCACCACTGGTAACTAGACATATGTACTAAAGTAGAATGAGAGGTGTACTTCAGTGAAGCTAGCTCTGTTAGAAGGAAGGAGGGACAATCTTTGATTGCCCACAAACTGCTGCCTTCAAGGTTAGAAAGTGAGACTGTAAAATGATGTTGAAAAATGACTGTAGAAATAAGTTCCATTAAGGTAAAGTTAAAAACACTTTACATTCCATGGCAAATTAGACAGAAGTTTGATGACGTGGTCCAGTGATGTCAGAGACATTTAATAACAGATATTTAAAACAGTAAAAGATGTGGCCATTTCTTGGCTCTTCCACATAACCTCCTTTCTAAAATATCATGATGGTCCATTTACTGGGTCAGGAAGAAAGGATCTCACAACAAACTTTGATCTTGAGGCCAACCTGTCACTATTGCCAAGTCAAAAAACCCTACACAATGTATCCTTACGTTACACTGGAACTTGCCAGTTCAACCCAGTTGTGAGGCTGACAGTTGAAGATGGAAAGATTTATCCCACTCATATCAAATAGTTCATACTAGCTTCTCCAGTCTGTATGCTGGGAGCAGAGAGAAAGGGGGCTTCTCGATTGCACCTCTGGGTACTAGTCCTGCATGAGAAGCATTCATGGCTCACTGCAAAGAAATGCCATAAGGAATCTCATGACTAGGTTGACCCAGCAAGATCAGAAAAGAGAAGGAGGGATAAATACAGGGGCATTGCACAGATGGCCCTGAGGAAGGAAGAAGGAAAAAGTACTCGTGGAAGAAGAGGTCCAGGCTGTAGGCTCTGGAACCCAACCTTTCAATTCCCACAGACTCAACAAAATGTTATCCGCTGTGTTGAAATAAAATCTTTGTGAAAGATTAGGGCACATGTATACATGATTGCACGGGAGACTTAGCTTTAATTTTTTATTTTTAACTGGAAGTATAAAGTCTCTTGGATTTATCATGAAGTAGTAATAGCAATAGCACTTAAATTTATATACCGCTTCACAGTGCTTTACAGCCCTCTCTAAACNAAGGAAAAAGATACTGGATAGTTCTTCATGTTCAATGGGACAATATTGACAATATTGTATACCACTGAGTAAATATGCCACACTATATGTATGTATGTATGTATGTATGTATGTATGTATGTATGTATGTATGTATGTATGTATCTGTCTGTCTGTCTCTATCTATCTATCTATCTATCTATCTATCTATCTATCTATCTATCAATCAATCAATCAATCAATCAATCAAATTTATTCAGGAGGAAATCCCACATAAAATTTAATAGGATTTCTGCCAAGTAATGCACAAGCATTTACTGACTGCAACCCCAAAATAACTCCAGACAGAACTGGAGTCTCATTTTCTGAAGTAAATCTCATAGTTTCTCCAGTATACAATGGCCAATAAGGTATTGGCAAGGCGGTTGTGTGAGTCCGTCCTGATCAACCGATTACCTTACGACTGTGACTTCAGAGAACAGAGAATGTAAAATATAAAATTGGTTCTTACCTTAGTAGCAAAAGCTTCTGCACTTTCACGACATGTCTTTTCAATCTCCAGGTGGTTTTGTATACAGCTGACTTCTTCAATAACCATATGAGAAACTAGAGAATTAGGGTAAAACCCATGATTCACAGTTTAATATGAGTCAAACCTTTTCCATATATTGTTATTCAGAAGAACATCCTATGCTTATGAATATTTCTTTTACATCTTTTAGTATGTATATAATTGCTTTTCATGTAGCACAGAAACTATCATATGAAACGTAATAAAATGATACATTTGGGAGATTATGAAATCACATTCTTGATTCTCACTGAGGAAATCCTCCCCAGTGTTCTAGTCTGACAAAGATACACCTTGATGTTCCATTTCATACATTTGATGAAGTAAGTTGTTGCTCATAAAGGCATATGTCTTTTGATAAAATTTGTTAGGATGTACTAATGCCATCAGGCTGTTTCTCATTTCTTTGTATTATCGGTTTGTTTGTTTTTTTATTAGCTGGTATACTCTTTCTTGTCTATTATTTTTGAACATATTAACAAAGACATTTTGGGTTCTTTTTAACATTTTCCCCCAACTACATCTCACTCTGCTATTCAGCCTTTCTCTGTTGGGGAAGAATTTTAAAACTCTCTTTGGATTTTATTTTCAAATTGTCACTAAGTGTTTTGGGCTGCCAGACTGACTTCTTTTTTAAAAATCTTTCAATTCCACATACAATATGGGAAGGTGGAGGAGGGAGGAAATCATAAGTTTATTTTACATCAATGTGCTTGTGGCAGAGAAACAGCAAATTGCCACACTGTTAATCCTTGGTCTGTTGGTCTGTTTTATTCCAAGATTTCTTCCACTGACTCATTAGCTCCTGTCTTTCCTGTCTCATCATTCTCTATTCTTCCTTAAACTAGCAGTCTGACCAATCTCTATCAGGAAGAGGTCACTTAGGAGCAATTGAGTCAATGGCTAGAGCCATTTCTGCAATTAAAGTTCTCTCAACTGCAACACTGTGGAAAAGTGTTCTCCACTTCCTAGATGCCTCATTCTCATAAGATCTAAAGTTCTGATTCTGAAATCAAGAGAATTTAGATCTGTCAAAAGATCTGTTTGGAATTTCTCCCCATCTAGGTCTACTGGAATGCTTTATCAATTACAATTAGGAGTGATTATATCCTGTTGCCACCAACTTAAATGTAAAACATTTCAACAGGCAAGCATCTAGTTGCAGGTCAATCTTCCCGCCCCAACATGTCACCCAGATTATACTATTTGAAAGCTATTTTGTTAGGAAGAAGTGTTCTGGTACCAAGGATACAAAAATGCAGCTCAAATGCCAATGGTAGCCTGTTAGCATCTCTTTTGGAATCTCAACGCATCCCATATCTTTTAAATTTGGGAAAGGGGAATGGAGACAGGTTTTGTCTTGTACAGACTAAATTTCACCCTTTACAACCCCTGTATCACTTTTCCCCTTCCCAAATGTATCCTGATTCTACCCAATTTTACATGTAGTCCTTGTATTCTAGATCAGAGGTGTCAAACTGGATTTCTTCAAGGGCTGGATCAGCATTGTAGTTCTCAACTCAGCGGGCCATCCTGGGGAGAGGGAGTTAGGACAGACGCCTCCTGCAGCACCTTGCCAGCCCAAACGGGGCACAGGGTGTTTCGGCTGCCAGAGGTACTATGGGCCAGTCCTTTGCTATTCCCAGGCCAGCCCCTCAAGCCAGATTTAAGCACCTCATGGGCCGGATGCAGCCCAAGGACCTTGAGTTTGATACCCCTGTTCTAGATCAAGTCTAAGGAAGCTTTTGGGCCATTGGAAGTTGCAATGTCTATTTGTTTGTTATGTTTAAAATCAAGTCCTTTACAGCTCCATAGGTATGTAATAGTGCTGAAAACTGCGCCTTAAAAGGAACATGAGAACAATGATATGCTCCATAATTATTATTTATGCTTTGAGTTCTGTGAGCTTCTGGCACTGTACCATGACAGAGATGAAAGCAAACAGACTTAACCCAAGGAGATGCGTTGTACTTCAGCTAGGCCTGGAGCATTGCCACATGGCAGTTGGGTCTTGAGTAGAAAAGGTAAAACCAAAACTAGCCAAGGAAATTCTCTATGCTGGGATCATGTAATCAAAAAACACAGTGACAAAAGATTTGGCACCAACACCCATACTTTAAGAGGCTTATCTTCTATTAGGTCAGCCCAGGCCATCCATTTTTGCTGTGTGCCATGAGCCAAGAACAGGAATAAGCAATGCATGCCATGCAGAGATACTGTCAGCAAATGGGAAGAGTGTACACAACACGAAAGAAATGCCCCAAGTAGACTGTGCCACATATTGCAAGAAAAAAAATAAGTTACCAGCCCACTTGCTTCAGATTGCAATCATACACACAGTTACTTGGCAGTAAAATCTATTAAGTCATTGGAATTAACTTGTATGAGTTTAGTTGCATAGTGGTATAAAGGAAATTACTGTCTCTGAACTGAAAGTATAAAGTAATACTTTATGCTCAGAAAGTAAACTGCTTTATTATGACTACCGTATTATACATATAAAATATGTACAGGTAAAACATGCACTGGGGAAATGTGCAATGAAACCACAATTAGCTATTTCTAATGCAACATAAATATTATTTTAAAACTCAATAAACAGAACAAGAAACTATTGTTCACATGACATGCTGTTCTTACATATAAAGCAATGACCAAAAAGAAGACACTTGTTTTTAACCAAGAAGGCTTTATGGTTACTTCCCATAGTGTGTGTGTGTAGATATATCTATATCTATCTCCTAGAAATAACTAATTTAAGATTAGTTAACCTGCAATTATGATTAAATTTCCAAAGAGGAAAAAATCTTTAAAAATGAAATAGAAAGAAAAAGTACTAGTTTCTAAGATGTCCCGAGTTCTTCTTAGGTTGATAATAAAATTCATAAAGCAACACTAAATGGCCAGAACCCTCTCCAACCTCAACATTTTTTCAGAGGTAATAATAATATGCAGCAAATGCAGGCCAACCAAAAACCACTTAACTAATTAGTAGTTGCAGTCACCGAGAAAACATGAATCAACACTGTTATTACAAGTGGCACATTTGAGTGGCATCTAATTATGACTTGATGAGCGTGATACTTGCATTATCAACATTACTCCCGCATCCCATTAGGGACTAAAAGCCGCTGATGGCATTGACTGCAAGAAACTCCCACTCAATGGCACTGCAGCACCCAACAATCTCCTTGGCAGGGGCACCCTCACTAAATGGCACGTTAAGCGTAATTACTGGCCGACATTGTAAATAAACAGGATTGGAAGTGAAAATTGTACCAAGTGCATAAGACACAATCTGACACATTGGAAGTGGCAGCCTTAATTGAGAGTTTCTTTGACTGTTCAAGATCATTTCAACTGCATTTCTTGGAGGACAGTGATTATAACTGTGGAGACAGACGGCATAATGGTATCAGCACTGCTGACAGAGCAGTGAATTAAATTGTATCTGCTGTTGTGTGAAAGCCTTGATGAGAAGTACAGATCCTTAGTGGTCTTATCATTATCACACAATGGTCATGTTGTCATCAACCTTTCTGGCTCCAATTGAAAAGAAATGATTGTGTGGTGAAGCGTCCCCCTCCCTTACCACCACCTTCTATCTCTTGTGCTGAATAGAACCAATTTTCAGAGAGCTATGAAATCACGCTATAGGGCCTAAAATGCAGCTGCTTGGCATACAAACTGGGCCCCATTAAACAGGAATCAGGCACAATATGTGTTTATGCCGAGAGAACAAATAGAAGCTGAGCACAGGCCAAGTTTATTCACAGACACAAAGCCCATGTAGCTCTTCATCAATATAATTGCCTTTTATATTGTCATTTAAATAATGGGCTCCATTATTGCTGTAAAATCCTAATATTCCTGGCATTTATTGCCATGTTTACAAGACATGTCTTTTTTTTTTAAGGAAGGTGGGGGGGAGGGAGAAGAATCAGAAAAAAAAGTGAAGAGGAAGATAAAAGAAACCTATGACATTTTACAAAAGCAAATACTACTTTTGAATTTTAAGTCTTAGCTACTTGACATTTTCTGCCTGCTTTATGAATTGCCAATATCATAACAAGTACAAATAGGCCATAAAGTATTTGTGTATTTTTATATGCAATACTTATTCCCTTTCTTTTCACAGGAATTTGGCATATAATTAGAAAATGTTTGACGCTTAGGGTGATAGCCTAAGTTTAGGATCGTTTTGAAGGAGGCACTTCATAAATGGCCTATATATAAACTAGGGTAAACAAGAGCTGCGTAAATTCCTTTGACAACTCTGCATTAGATGCAAGGTGCTTAGGCTTTTTAAAAAAATGATTATTAACCCAACAAAACACACTATACTGACAGGGAGGTAACATAACAAGCTGTGATACTGTTGTCATCATTCTCAAGAAGCTATTCACAAGAGCTTTTCCACTCCCATTAGCTGTGTTTTGTTACCCTCAGACCCTACACTGGATCAATAGAAGTGTTGTCTCGTAAGAGGAAAATCTGGGGGTTTGGCAAGATGGGTGAGTTGTTCACATGTTTATCCCTTGTGCCAGAGGAAGTCAACATCATACCTATTTTAAATCTGGCGATGTCTGGTTTTTGTATCACCAGACTTAAAAGGGGACAGTGAAGCTCAAGAAGTCTGCAGCCCTGGGATTTCAATCCATAAGCAAACAGGGCTCTTCTGATAGGAGACATGGGTGGGATTTCTTCTCCTCTCTAACAGCATATCAAAAAGTAACAAAATAGGTGCAAAGGGTAAGCAAAGTACAAAGGTTTCTTTTCATTATAACCCTTTGAAAGAGAAAATGTCATCCATTTAAAAAAAAGAGCTTTTAGTTTCTGCTAACAAGAAAAAAAAAAGGTCTCTTTCTGGCTTTTGGAGCACAACTCTGGATGTGTTTAAAAATAGAGAAGCCATTACACTGATAATGGATGCAAGAAAGCAAAAACATATCATATGCTTGTAATCCGTATTATATATAAATTTTAATTAACTGTATGTATAATGTGTATGCTAGGTTTTTAGAAATAAATCACTGCTTCTCAGACAAAGAAATACTATCCAGTCGAATGGAGTTTAAAGACATTACGCTAGATGAATTATGCCAATTGTGAATCACGGGAGATTAGAAAGTTAGCAAACGGAACTAACTCCTTGGCAAGAAAATGCCAAAGGAATAAATGAACAGATCTTTAAGAAGATGAGCTGTGCCTTGTAAAAACATCAGACAGATTTTCGGTCAGTGTTAAACATCTTAGGCAATGTATTAGTATATGGTTTGACTTTGAAGATACAAAGAGATCTGACTTTAATGCAGAAATCCACTACCATCTTTAACAAGTGTACAAGAGGCAAATGTTTGTAGATAAAATCCACTGTGGGGAGAACAAATATTCTGCAAACATTTACAGGAGCTTTGGCTGGCTACATTATTTTCTGTAATATTTTTTGTAGTCCTTTTTGAACTTATTTGCTTTGGATCAACTCCAGTTGGGTCAAATAGGGCTAGGACTCTTAAGCTTACTCTAGCTCAAACAGGGATTTTGAACATTTTTGAAAACTGCGCTATCAGCTCCATAGAAGGGACAATTATAAATCTGGAAGAAAGAAGGAAGATAACTAAAGGGTTTAAGAAATGCTTGATTCATTATTTTTTTCTGCTATGAGAAAAGAATTTGGAGTAGAATGGATCTTTTATCCTTGCTCAGTGGCCCTGGGATAGCAAATGCCTATCTGGAAGAGGCATATATAGATAGCCAACTGGTAACAGAACGAGGTAAAGCAGCAGCTCCCAACCTATAGAGCACCAGGGACCAGTTTTGTAGAGAGAGGTTTTTCTATGGACCGGAGGGGGTGTGGTTTCTCATGCTGCCTGTCTCCCGTGGATAGGGCTTCGCTTGTTTGTACGGTTCGGTTTCTGGTACATCGTGGCCTAGTGCTGGTCCACGGACTAGAGATTGGGGACCCCTGAGATAAAGAATACTACTTCTCATACTGTTATCCCAGTGGACTTTGATGACTCCTTCCCCTTGGAACCCAGCATAAAACAATCTATATGCAGCACATTGGTAATGGTCAGCATCCCTTCCTTCCCAATTATGGTATGTTTAGGCAGGCATGACAACAATTCTGAAACAGGTTGTACATACACAAACTGGAGTTATAAATCTAATGGCAGTGGTCCAAATTTTATATATATATATATGTGTGTGTGTGTGTGTGTGTGTGTGTGTGTGTGTGTGTGTGTGTGTGTG